TCTGTCTGTCTGTCTGTCTGTCTGTCTGTCTGTCTGTCTGTCTGTCTGTCTGTCTATCAATAATCTATCTGTCTATCTATCTTTCTTCTATTTATCTATCTATTGAAATCAGTCTATCAATAATCATTCTATCTATCTCTCTATCTATCTCTCTATCTATTTATCTATTTATTGAAGTCTATCTGTCTCTCTGTCTATCTGTTGGCTTTAAAATACACCCACATTAAAAAAGAAATGACGGTTGTATCTATTTCATCCATACAGGATCTATTGTGAATGTATCAAGTGTTTACAGCAAAATCGCAGTAAGTTTGAGCGAATGGTAGAGGTTTGAAAACGTCATAATGTAAACCTATTGGAGACTTTTCTTTTCCAAACTATAATATTATGTAACATAAGGAGTTAGTTGCCATTGGGTTTATTATACGTATATGTCTGTGTTGTTTGCGTTTTTTGGCTAAGTACACAGAGCGTGTTCATATACATGTATTAGATAGATTGTATATATATTATATATATGTGTGTGTGTGTGTGTGTATGTGTGTGTGTGTGTGTGTGTGTGTGTGTGTGTGTGTGTGTGTGTGTGTGTGTATAAAATATGTATATTACGTACATAATATTTTTGTCAGTGTATTTTTGTCAATTGTATAGTTTGTGTGTATATCGAAGGATATACTTAAATATATACATAATTACGAACGAATCCATGCTCCTATGTATTTATCTATGTGTCTGTTTATGTTTGATACCTGTATCTATCATTCCATGCATTTACCTGACTTTATAAATAACCTTCTGTTAGTTAGTAGTCTGGACGTTACAGTGAAAGGATGACTCTTTGTTTGGTATGGTGGATCCTTGATAGTGTAATAGGGTACTAAATTTTCACAATACTGAAACAGTAGATTATGTTTTATAAAATGTTTACTTTGTTTCCCAGAATTACCAGCTAAATTTCCCCAATGCTGAAACAGATTGTGTATAAAAATATGTTTACTTTGAATTACCTGTTAAATTTTCAGAATACTTTAACAAAAGATAGTGTATAAAATGTTGATTCTGTCTCCCAGAATTACCAGCTCGTGACTTACTCCATGACTAAAGCGGCTCTGGAACATCTGACAAGACTTACAGCTCTAGGTGAGAGATTGTCTGTCTGCCTGTCTGTCTGTCTATTTGTCTGTCTGTCTGTCTGTCTGCCTGATTGTCTTTCTGTTTGTCTGTATGTCTGACTGACTGTCTGACTGTCTGTCTGTCTGCCAACACTTTTTGCTCAGCTTGTCCCTCTGTCTGTCTCTATCTCCCTCCTTATCTTCTCTCCCCCCCCTCTCTCTCTCGCTCTCTCTCTCTCTCTCTCTCTCTCTCTCTCTC